TACTCTGTAGTGGCAGAGATCCTCTCAGTTTGTATAGACACATGCATTTCCAAACATTTGGACTACCTATTTTGTAAATGTATTATCTTTTCGATTTACACACGGCATCTATTGCACGTCTGTCCGTCCTGGGAGAAGGATCCCTCCGCTGTTGCTCTCCCTGAGGTTTCTCCCATGTTCCCCTTTTAAACTTGGGGTTTTCTCTGGAAGTTTTTCCTTGTACGATGTGAGGATCTAAGGACAGAGGGTGTCGTATTGTCATACTGATATTTTGTACACACTGTGAAGACCACTGAGACAAATGTAAGATTTGTGATATTGGGCTATATAAATAAACATTGATTGGTTGATTGATTGATTTTTTATTATTTTACAAGGAGTTTCATTATCTTTTTTGAAGCCCTTAAAACTAATAAAAATAGAAATGGAATTCCACGGTTAATCTGAATTAATTGTATTACTTTAATGTCTTCATCATTTTCTTCGAAGACTCTGAAAGCCATGTTTGTGCTGGATGAGGTGTGTATGGAAATGTTTTATAAAGTAAACAATATAAGTATTTTAAACATTTAAGTAAGTCAAAGTGCTTAAGCAACATTTTGACAACCGGTTATTAACTTGAGTGTATTTCCATTTTATGCTACTTAAACTTCTACTCCACTATACAACTGCATTTCTGTTCCATGGGTCTACTTATTTAACTATTTTTAAACCATGAATGTAAATATACTAAGACACAGCTCTTGTGTATATAAATAACTAGCTCTGTAGCCTACTGCAAATCAATTACGAATATTTTAGTCCTTCATAAGGGTTAATAATTCTGGTCAAATGGTGTATCCAGGATTTTATTTGAGCTTTATTTTGACGATGTATCATTTACCATAATTGTGTTACATTTTTACTTCAATTAATTTGATAGCTTAAGTTAGTTTGCTAGGTTTTTTGCAGATTTAGATCGTAAATCAACTAATAAATTGTGTTTTTGGTCTATTATTGTAGGCTAAGCTACCAAGTCTATATATAGAGTTGGCGTAATTCGCCCTTGTTTGTCAGCAGCAACATTACATTGATGTAAGTGAATAATCCATATTATTTATAATAAATTAATGCAATATAATGTTATAGGATTTTCAAATGAGCCATTCTGCAAATGAGCATTCTTCTTTAACTTTTGATACATTAAAAATATATGTGCACTTTGTTCACCACAACTGTACTTTTTGCAGTGACCATGTAGAGGCTGGGATTTATTAAACATTTTGTAGCAAATAACAAGGTGGTATTGACATTATTATTGAACTAATCCCAATAAAGTTCAAAAAGATAATGAAGGATAATGATTATCATACTGTTATTAAAAAGAGTACGCCCTTATCTTAGTTGATTTTCAACTCCTGCATCACTTTAGGAGAAATATATAATCAGACATTGTTGAGTGCAAATTAAAACGAGACCTAACAATGCTTTCCTTTAAAAATGTGCTGAGGAAGAAGCAGCATTTCTTCAGCTGTGAATAGGTCTCCCACCCAGGCTGAATATAGCGTCAATAAGCTACATTAGTCCAAAGATTAAAGCAGCCAAGATAAAAGAAGAAAGGACTTTAATCCCACCATCTCAGAAGTCTGATTAATGCACCCTTGGTGAATGCATTACTTCTTAATGAAATTTTTTGACTAAAAGAACAAATATATATCGCCTATAAAGTAACACTAAAAAATGTTCTTTCTTTCTTACTTTTTAGTCAATCTGACTTTTCTGAAAGGTAAGTCCTACATGTCCTGCATACATTAAAATATTGAAATGTCCAACCATGACTTGCTTTTTTAAAATATATAATATAATATTGACTATAAAAGCTGATGCTATCCCTCATTCTCTTGACAGCAGAATGTTTGTGTGAGCATCTTTGTCGACATTTGATTCTTGCTCTGTCTCTCTCCCCCAGGCTCAGTTCACTTTTATTCACTGAATGTTTTGTACTGTGTTACATAAAGTGCTATTTAAGTAAAAGCTCTTTCAAGTACAAGTCCAGAACGTTGCGTTCTCTGAGCCTCAATGAATGATGGACCCTTAGTCAACCACTTTGGTACAGGCTGAAATAAAACAAAAAACTGTTGGACGGATAACCTTGACATTTGGGACACATATTTATTGTCTCCAGAGGATAAATACTGACTATCCCATGACTTTTCCTCCATTTTTAAAATATTGATATCATGTTAATAATACACAATTGTAATTATCATGTTAATAATCCAGTGCTACTTAACACATTTCTGTCTTTCCATTCCTCACTCTGTCTCTCATAATGGCCCCCAAACTGTCTGTAATAAATGTTTCCAAAAAATAGACAAAATGCTCAAAGATAAAGATTAATTTAACTTTTTTATGCTGAAGTTAGCATTTTAAACCAAGCAACATGGTCTATAAGTAAGTCCCTTTGGTTTTGAATTGAGGTTAAGACAACAATGCATTCAGTTGGAGTGACAAGCCAATGGACAAATCTAAATAAATGATTTAAGAAACATAATTTTCCCCAGTTAAACACCGCTCGTGGAGCAATTTGTTAGAAAGTTGACTCCATCACCAATTTAAGCAGCTTCAGACACTTTATGTTAGATCTTTCTTAAATGTGTCGCTCATGTCTATTTTAGTTACCGAATCAGTGGAGGATACTCATAAGAGCTCATTGACAGATGTTCAACATGCTTTTAAGGTCTGGACTCTGATAACAGACAGATCAGCAGCAGTTTGTGATTCATTTTACTTAACCCTCCCCTGTGTGAATCTGATGACTGCACTGAATGTCCTTGCCAATGGGATCAGGTGTTCCTCACATTGTTGCTCTGACAGCAGGTGGCCTAGAGGTGTTAATAGTCATCCCATCAAGACCTGCGTTATCAAGTGCCACCTGCCAAAAAAAAGCCTTATCAGTTTATCACTTCTCTGGATGTGTGTAGCATTGATTATTCAATAAGAAGCTTATTTAAGATTAGGAATAACTGAAAGAATATTATTAAGTCTGATTCAACTTAAATGTAACATTTTGTATGGTTCAGTTTGATTTGTAATAAGCAATCACATATTCAAAGACATTAGCCCAGATTTTTGTATTTATTATAAAAGCTCATATATTAATCACATCATTTCAAGTTTATAGTCTACTGATGAAAAAGTTGATTGATGGCTTCAATCAAGCCTGGCTAATATTCACTGTGCAGAAAGCTATGTCACATGGGCTGGAAAGTTTCGTGGGGAAGTGGTAAACCATTGATTATCTTTTTTGTGACTAAAAGCACATTGATAAAACAACAACAACAAAGATGATGAGATGTGTACTGTCCAAAATACATACTAAACTCATACAAGGCGGCAACGTTAACAAGGAAACAACAAATGCAGACTTGAAATTTAAGGACTGACAGATAAATAACAGACACATTAATTGTATAATTTACAACATAAGAGCTTGAGCTTGATGTGCACTTGTGCATTAGTGCGCATGTGTCTGTATGTGCATTTGTGTACAAAGAGGACATTGATGGCAAGAGGAGAGGAGATGCAGAGAAAGGCTGTTGTGTGGGAGAGGTGTTGACTTGTTTACTTGGATCATGTGTCGCTTCAACAAATCATATCATCGACAATGCAAACATCATGAAATTCAGAACAATAACCTAAAAATAATCATGAATTTGATATCCTTTTCCCATTAATCGAAATGTAATAAAATGCTGTGCACCAGCCAGGAATTGTGTGCGTGGATATGTGCTTATATTTGTGTACACACAAAAACCAACCACCATTATGATTGACATGTTGCAGGATGGAGGTTGCCTTGGAGACACAAAATGCCTTACATTCAGTCACAAATGGAGAAGCAAAACACTCTTTTTCTTTTCAGTCTTTGTGCTCAGGGTTGCTACACATTCTGTCATTTTTGTCCCAGAATCTTTTATCCTCCAATTCACACTCCATCTGCGCTGTCAAATCTGCCGCCCTTTTATTAGTCTAGCACCTTGTTCTTGCTGACCTGTCTCCATATTTCATTATCCCATGCCTTAGACCCCTCCTACTATCCCTCTGTGCACTCCTTTTTCATCCCTTCTTCACTTCTCTGTTCACTCCTTGTCTATATTTCACAATGCATCTAGGTCACACATCAGCCTTGTGTGACTTGTACCATCTGACAAAGTGAAAAGCTGATGCCCAGACAAACGCGCAAACACACACAGCACTGGATGCAACATTTAGAAAAAAGCTGCCGTCTCTGCCAATGCTGTAACCATGGGAATACAGTGTAAACAGAAGCCACTGTCAAAACTGGATTGACTGTGTGTATTTAATAAATAATCATTTGAGTTCCTATTCCCCTGACCAAGTTCTGTTGTTAAGGAGACAGGTGCAGAGCATGCTGGTTGAAGACGATGATTTCAGATCATCAATACAACAGGCAGGAACTAGATAGGCCAAATAAAATCAGGTGCAGCTCAGGCAGGAAACAGGACAGGGCACGAAGTTGATCATTATTATCATCTTCAGCAAGGAGGTTATGATTTTTGGTTTGTTGGTTTGTCAGTAGGATGAAGTAAAAACCTACTGGTACGATTTTCATGGAACTTCTTTGTGTGTGAAGTGAAGAAGAACTCTAAACCTAAATGTTGAAGCAGATTCACATCAGTGGATACAGAACTTGTTTTCACTCATATGGTTTTATCAGAGGACTCCAAGTTCATCTAGTTACACAAAAGGAACATCACTTAGGGTTTGTTGAGTTTTCTTCTGATGTAGGTTTGGTATAAATGCATGCTCATTGCAGTAACTCCACTGACAAGTTGCGTGCGTATCTTGCAGAGCGCAGTTTGAGTTCTTGGTAGCACTGTACAAAACTGTGGTAGATGAATGTGATTGGCAGTGCCAAGAGAACAATGCCGCTCACGACACACATTCCCCCAAGCACCCGTCCTCCAACTGTCACAGGGTACACATCCCCATACCCGACAGTCGTCATGGAAATTATGACCCACCAGGCGGATGCTGGGATGCTGGCAAAATCCGGGTTCTGTATTCCTAAATCCATCCCGTGCTCCAGGAGCTGGGCCAGAGCACTGTATATTGCCATGGCGACAAAGACAAACACCATCAGCATAACCATCTCCCGGTAGCAGCGTGTGAGCGTTAGCCCCAGAGTCTGCAGGCCCAGGAAGTGTCTGGCCAGCTTCATGAGCCAGAACACTCTCATCATCCTCAGCACCCGCAGTACCACCCCGGCCACCCCGAGCCCAGCATCAGGCACCCCGGCCTGGGCCAGAGCCATGGTGACATAGTAGGGGGTGATTGCAATCACATCGATGATGTTGAGCGGCTGGCGGAGGAATTCACACTTGCTTCTGGCCACCAGAAAGCGTATCGTGCACTCTGCTGTAAACCAGCCAATACACACTGCCTCCACCGTCCTACAGAGAAAAACAGGAGAGGATGAAAATGAGCTGAAGTGACTGTAAACAGGAAATGGCAGAGGACAGTGAGATATGGATAATATGAGACACTGTTTGACAATCTGTAAATGAGGAGGAAGAAGCATGCAGAGCAGGAGGGAAATTAATTATGGGAAATAAGGAGGACATGTGACGCATTTCAGGGTTGACATAATTAAACAAGGACAGCAGGGTGGATATACAATAAGGAAACTGCCTGGAAACTGCAGAGAGGGGGGATTAAAAACCCTCACATAGAAATAAAAAAAACAAGCAAGCACACGATAACCCCATTGATTAGCACAGCAAAGGCAATCTAACTGAACCAGAGTGAGGCGGAGCTTGTATTGGACAAAAGAACAGCCAGAGCCTCAGGATAAGTACACAAAACTAAATTATAGAGTTACTCAGAAAATTACATCATCTACTGGCATGAAACTAAATTAGAAAAATCTTGACCCAGAGTGTAAACTACATTTTTAGTGATTACCTAACCACTGTGAGTGATCCAAAACCCAGCCTTATATAGAGAGAGGTTGCCTCGGGCTTCCATAGAGAGAACATGCTGTGCAAAAATAATGTGAAAAGAGAGGTGCATTTTCCACCTCGCATCCAAAAAACTGAGGCCAAAATAATAGTCAAGAAGCTGACTGATAGAAGATGAATCCTGTAAATGGCTTCATTCCCTTTTGTTTGCTTACACGAATATAAAATCCCTCAGTACACTTTCTATTTTGAAATGATTACGCACTGGCTTATATTATGTATCTATCATGATTCTGATATTATGTTTGTCCTTCTTGTGTAGGCTACTGTAAACTAACCAAGCCAATAAAGATATTTTAGGTAATGAGGCATGAGGCTCCGGAAAAACCCAGGGTGTAATAATGAACACTACCCGCTTAGTACATAATATGGATTTTTTATTGATTGGCTTCCTTGGAGCTTGTCTGACACATGAGCATCCTAACGTTTAACGTGATGCCTGAAATTTACTGTATTAAACAAAGAGGTGTTTTCAGTTTAAGCAAAAGGCTTAAGTCGCTATACCAACACATTGCATATTCCAATAACTTGCATAGACTGTCATTGCGCTATTTCACTTTTTTAAACTATTTTTGTATTTACTATTTACTTGCACTATATTTCTGTTTATCTGTTTTACTGTGTGTTGCACTGTTGGAGGAGCCTGTGACCTAAGATGTTCATCGTCATAACTACTGTAGCTATGTTCGTATGACAAAAATAAAAACCTTGAACTTTGGTGTAGTCATGTTTTAAATATATACTGTATATAAATTCGAAGTTGCTGTTGATTTTCCACCATTCAATAAAGGAAAAACTATCAGGGCTCAACATGATGTGAAAAATGCATCCATGCCTAAACGTTATGGGTAATACATATGCGCAATAAACGCATGCGTGTGTCCATAAGTGTGTTTATTATGTGTAAAGATTGTTGATTATGAAATAAATGGATCTTTCATATATTTTAACTTGTTAGGGTCATAAGGTCACAAATGACTTTTACGCACCAGATGTAAAGCACAATAATGCGTCCTAAGATTTAGCAGCATCTTCAGGAAGTTTCAGTTTTATTCCTCCAAACCTAACTGACCCCTGACTATCGCCTACCTCTGTTCCTCCACAATGTTTCTTTTGGCAGTATCCCAGTCCGGCAGGGTGCTGGCACACAGCATTATCATAGAAACCAGCACAAAGATCACTGACACTGAAGCTAAAAGCTGTGCCAAAATTGAAGAGTTTGGCTCCTCGAATGTCTTGCGCATTTTCTCGAGCCATTTGGCGCGACCGGTGAGCGCATTGTCGTGCACCTGTTCGCCCGAGCTTTGGGAGTCATCCCCCGAAACTCCGACGTCCATTTCGGAAATAGTGTCAATTCCAATCTCGGACATCCTGTCGTCCAGGCGTTTCTGGCAGCAGGAGTCCAAATGCACGCTTTCCAGTCCCCAATAGAGCATCTCTGTGTAGAAGGAAAGCTCACACACTCCGGGGACAAAGCGGAGTTTACCGGAGCGCAAGTACAACATGATGAACATAAAGACCTGTGAGTGGCGATCAAAGAAAAACTCGTTCTGGTCCCGGTCGTAGTCATCGCACAGTTCAAGAACCTCTTTCTCGGTTGCGCATGCATGCAGACGGCTGACGCGCCGGAGAGGGAAATCCTTTATCACTTCACGGGTGAAGGCGTAACGGGTTCCCCCTACATTGAGTACGCAGATGCTCTTTCCGAACTTCATCTTGTAAACCTGTAACCCACACTAAAACTCATCTTCACAGTCCAGCGTCCCTTCCATCACAGGAGTTTGGACATGTGGGGGCTACAGTCTCCCCTGGCTGTCCCCACGGGGCGTGGTTGGCTCTGAGTGCAGCTCCGTGTCTGAAGGAAACTCTCCCCTCTGTCCTTTACTCCTCTCCTCTCTCTGTAGCCTGTACAACAGACTCTCCACCCCAGTAAGGGCGAGCCAATCCCATCAATGATGTCACATGCGCGCGCACGGCCGAACGCATTGAAAGAAGAACATACAGGGAAACTCGAAGGACTCATTTGACAAACATTCTAAACAATGTTTTGACATAGCCTAGACTTTAAAAAGTAGGCTACACATACTTTTACGGATGAATCATACGCTAATTTCCCACAACCTGATATATTCAGAATCCTCAATAAACATACATCATTGTATCAACTATCAAATTATTTTTGCACAATTCTAATGAGATTTGTTTTAAAGATTTTTTTTATTTTGATCTTTCCTCATAACCGATATACTCTATTCTGTTTTAATGTTCCTATTCTATATTTACAGTATGTTCTTGACATTGTATCCTGTTTTCCCTTTATGATTTTTGTATACACCAAACACTAAAACAACCTCGTCCTAGTTGAAAATCAACTTGGCAATAAACCTTATTCTGATTCTGAATTGCATTGCCAAAGACTGATGTTGTTGTGCCCATGACAGTGAAGAACAAACACATGTATAATAATTTATTACGAACATCTAACTCCCTTAAGTAGCCTAAATCCACAGGCTAATGATATTAAAAACGCAAATGCCAAAAAAAGTTGGAACAAGAATAAATTACGCACGCATTTTAAAGGTAATCATCAGGATTTGTAAAGGTAACTGTGTGTTTGTGCGTGTGTGTGCGTGTGTTAGTGCGCGCGCATGTGTGTGTGTGTGCGGCCCCCCCCTCAACGTCACCAGCGGTTTTTCGGGTTGATCCGACTTCTTTTGGCTGCCGTGAGTTCACTGTATTGTAAAGGGTACTGTGAATCCTAGAGGAAGGGGGAGTTGATTTGGCAAAACAAAATCTCCCGCTTGGGTACACATCCGGAGTCTCGACGATCATAATTCACCGCACCATTTACCTTTTAAAATACTGAGTTTTATTGTTTTTATTAATTTATTGTATTTCTCTTAGTTTATGGTTTACGTTAACACTCCGGGAGGGCAGAAATGGCGGCCAACATGTACCGGGTCGGAGGTATGTATGTCAATGTGGATCTTTTTATCAAACTGAAACCCTTCCAGTTTTGCATCCCCTGGGATTTGTGTGGCGCTATTTTTGGTTTGTTTGCACCTAATGGTGAAATACGGCTGTCCTACACGTACAGAGGTGCGTTAAGTTTCCGCAGGAAGGTGAGCGTTTCTAAATATTTTGGATTCAAAATGGGTCAGGCCTCGCGTATGTCGTGGCCACAGCAGCTAGCCGCCAGCTTGCTAAATGGCTAGCTTACAATGTAAACATGTTTCAATTGTCGGCACCCTTGTTGCTCTTTGGTTTTCTGATAGCCGCACAAGGAATACAAGGTTACGGACACACTATAGCACTAATGAACTAGACATGTGTTCAAAAGGTTGTTAAAATGTTACCACGGACAGTGTGAGGCTGCCTTTGTATTTGCCTCTTCTGGCATGCAGCCATTAGTACGAGACCTTATTTAGCTAACGTTAGCACCAGCAATGGCTTCACTGATTAGCATTATTGCAGCTGTGGCGCCTGTACCACACTTTTAAGAGGAATGCATCTCACAGTCCTGGTAACATTACACACCCGGCTTTGCCACAATGTCCACCTACATTCTTTAGAAGAACTGTTCATTATCACATTGGCTTCTTAGCTTCTTAGCAGTGTATTGTAATTCATGATCAAATTACAGTCTCGATTAATGGCGTCGTTGCTTCCGGATGCACTTACACCTTTATTCACATCCATATTAATTAATCTTAAATGGCTCATATGCTTGCCATGTCACCTAAACATGAAGGATCTCTGCACATTTGATGTAATTGGCAACCGTTTGTATAAATGTTGTTAGCATATGTATCAGCTTGTTGTCCTTATGGTCACCTCTTTCAGCTCTGTTGTTGCCTTCAGGTACTCTTTGAAAACTGCAACTCATAGGATGAAGTTTGATTGATTCAGTTGTTTTAATGAAATAATAACACATCTGATTTGGATCTAGTCTTTTGGAAATGTTCATACCTATAGCTCGTCCTACTTTGTGCAACATAAGAGAAGAATATACATGCCAGGGCTGGAATTCTTTCCGTTTCAACAATACAATTGGGGATAAACATTGTGAATCCAAACGTGGAGAATTGTAGTATTTATATGCAGTGACTGAATATGAAACCTTGACAACTGTAAAAATATTGACCTCTTAACTGACTTGTGTATGTGCCTGGAGCATAGTTATAACAATATTTAAGACAGCACTTGAAGACAGCATTTGCCATGTTCAGAACTTTTCTTAAGTTACTGTATGTTCTGCTCAGGTAGAGGTTAACCAGGCTAGATGTCTGTACAGTGAGTTTGACTGAAATATATCTCTGTCCTCAATGTATTTATCTTACAAAATCATAACAGTGTGGTGACTGTCTCACAGGATTTGAAGACCTTGCAGTCAAATATAATCACCTTTGCCTGAACCGATTTGACTTGGAATAGACATTGTTTGTGACGCTTGCTCAATCCATTATCCTGTCTATTAATGGCTCTTACAACTGTTAGATGTAACAATTGCTGATAGAAGTGAAACATGAGTTGATGAATGGTATGTTTAAAAAAAATCAAGGAAAACACTAACGTATTCTCACTTTATGCTCAGCCAGTTTCCTGGTTCTCAGCTTACCTAGGGAGCTAGGAATGGGTTAGTGGTGCAATAAAACGGGTTGTTGAGCATATACATCATGTTCACTTTATAAGGTACAACCATACAATTTAATTCTACTTTTAGGATTGTAATGTATAGCGTTGTTGACACTGTCAGAGAAGGGTTGATATTGTCTATACAATACAACACAGTGCAGTCCAATGCCTGTGCAAACTAAAACATCAACGGTAAACTTATTTTCTAATTAGATTGGATAGTGAAGACCTCCGTATAGGCAGATGGAGTATACATGTGCTCCATGGATGGTCCCATTTACAGAGTTGGCGAGACGATCCTCAGACTTCGATGTGTTAATGAGCTTTGAGTGGTAATGTGGAAACAACATGGAGGTGTTGCAAAGAAAATCTGTAGTAGTCCTGTTTTATTGCTCAGTGTTCCAGGAAGCCAATTTGCCTAACAACAAGTGAAACCAATCAGGTTAGCCATGAAAGTGTGTACTAAGCTTTCGCCAGCTTTCCAAGTGTTTCAGACTTTAAGGGCCACTCGTGTAAACTTTTTCAAGTCTGGAACCGATTATTCTGACCCAAGATGAATACATCACAAAAAATCTAAACTTGCAATGTTGATAAAAGTGAAGCAACATTAGAGTATATGCCCTGTGATTCAGATACTATCCAAAGTCGAATGGGGTTTTCCTTCCTCTTACGTATTAAATAATCTCTGACGGTGTCAATTAAAACTTTATGACGGTGAGCTATTGAATGTCATTCCATTTGATAGGTTTAGCTAAAAAGAGGTCACAATGTGTCCCACAGGATAGTCTTTCGGTAATCTGATACGGTGACGTGATCATTCCATGTTTTCTCTTGCAGATTATGTATTCTTTGAGAACTCCTCCAGTAACCCTTACCTGATCCGGCGAATAGAAGAACTCAACAAGGTACTGAAGTGTTTGTTTGTCTCTTTTGTGTGTGTGTTTATGCCGTTTATTGCCTGAGGGTGAATAGCTAGGATTCCTCCCTGTTTGTATCCCCACCCCCCACTTTGAAAGGGCGTGTGCGTGTGTTTGCAATTCGTGAACGCTAAAAAGTGTTTGTAATAAAAGGTAACCTGACAGGTGATAACCAGCCTCATAACTGCCACAGATATCACTGGACACACCTGAATGTGTAGGCGGGGGGGATTACTGTAAGAAACTTTTCAGGTGCTCAGTTGGCCGATCTGGCGATGCTTCCTGTTTTTACTTTATCCTAGATAAAGTATCATTTATGTCAGTTAGGAACACACCAAAGCTAACTTTTATTTAATACTAGACAAGCATCTTTAATGGGCGTGTCAGAAAAGAGTAGTACCCACGGCAAAGAATCCAACTTAAATTCTGACCTCAGGATTGTTTTTATTCTGTCTCTGTAAAAAGGGAACTGGTGACCCCAAAACAATCATAACAAGAATAGCTTTTCCTGTGTGCTTTCGTACTCAGATACATTATCATGGTGTGGGTGGAAAGAGGTCAGAAAAACATATAGTACATATGCGTACACAGTAGACTGTTATCATTAGTGATAAACGGGGGTGGACAAAATAACAGGAGCTCATTGAAGCATGATGCAATGTAACACAGTCACCCTCCAACAGATGCTGCCGGTATGAAGCTTGTTTTGTTCTTTTTTTTTGTTGTGGCTGAAAGAAAATTGTTGATCAAAATTGACATACATTTTTGTGGCTGTAGATTATGTTGGTGTTGCATTGTATTGCGATTTGTAATGATGTATTCCTGTTATTTTATGCACATCTCTCAGGTTAACACTGTCCTAAAAAACATCTGCTCTTACCTAAAAGCTCAATGTGAAAGCAGCAGAAGTTGGAAGCAGTTTTGACACAGAATTTAATACAGGCTGAGTCCTTAAACCTGTCGGCCTAATTACACAGCATGACAATCAATCAATCAATCAAGCAGCTGTTGCTGCCCTGGTTAGCCTGTCATAGCAGCATAGCCTGATGTGCACACAAAGGAGCAAGGTCTCCTGGGAAATTAGAGGTTTGTGCAGGGAGGTGTTGTCACTGCTCTCATTCACCCTGGATCCCTCTGCTCTCTGTTTCAGACGGCCAGTGGAAATGTGGAGGCCAAGGTGGTTTGTTTCTACAGAAGGAGAGACATCTCCCACAGCCTCATCCAGCTCGCAGACAAACACGCAAGTGAGTAGTAACTCCAGTCAATCACTGATGGCACATTTCCACTGCAGCGCGTAGCACGGTTTAAGCGTGCCGTGCCAAACCCGGCCCGTTATTTGTTGAGTTTCCACTAGGGGTAGTTCCAGCTAACGGGTACCTTTTCACAGCTTTTCCGGCCCTCCAAAATCGTGGTTCTTTCCGGGCCAGCAACCGGGCTGAATATGCTAAACTAGTGACGTGAGTGGCTACAACCACAACACAATGAACATATTTTTACCGTGATTTAATTGTAATACACGTTTCAAAATGATGCCGAAGTAACAACATACTGATACCGGTTAGTATAAACCATGAATTAATGCTTTCAGTTGTACAAGGCAAATTCAAATTTAGAAGGCCATGTATTCTAAATCTTTCACCGGAAGAAACAATAAATGAAACTCGAAAATTTTGTTTAACTATTGCTGAGACAAGAGAAATAATTTATTATAATTATTATAAATTATTTGCCCCAACGGACGAGAGAAAAGGAGGGGGAGAAGAACTGTCGGTCGTCAGTCCTCTACTAGTATATCCCGAATGTGTGCTCGGCAACTCTAGGGGTCTCGCAACGCATACGGCCAGATGGGTGGAACCCTGGGCAATGGGCATTCAGCAAAATCAGGGGGGGGGGCGGGCGTCTCGCCCTCGTCCCGATTACTTGAATTTTTATTCTTCGTCGTAAAATGCCACGCGATAGCGTACCCCGGCGGCAAACTCCCCCAAAGGCTGTACATTAAAGTCTTTAATTTCTCCACAAGTACACAGCAACGACACCTGGAAGAATTATGGAACCTTTACGGCCATATATTGAAAAATTTATCGGAATTAAAAGCGATTTAAACTAATTGTTGAAAATTATGAAAGATTCTGGGGTGCCTGTGGGACATTTTCCAAAAAGCGGACGGCAGACGAC